TTCCCCCTCCTTCAAATGTAGAAACGCGAAACTTTCAAATATGGTTAAAAGAAACACAACTCTACCCACCTGCCAAGTTTCATCTTTTTATTTCTCTTATTTGTATGAATTTTCAAGCTTTTGACAGCTACGAGTTAGTTCAGTGTCACCGCGCTGTGTTACGGTACCAGAACTTCTCTATCTTTAGAAGGTCCTGTCTTGTGACAGCGTGAATTGAAATTGCAAGATGGTCCGTCCGATATCCGCAGAACGTTTAGTGACGTCATAGCAAACAAAAACAAATCTTACAGAGCTAACAGAAATATTTGAAATAAATAAAAGTAATAGCCTTCTGGAGAAAAATTTCATCTTCAACCACTGAAAATTTCAAAGCAATTAGTCCAGTAATCAAAGAGAAAAGCGACTTTTTAAAAACGTGTCAAAGAACAAGAACAACAACAACATAATATTGAAACGATCGTTATGTCCACTACGTGTCCAATAAAGTGCAACTCAGTGGACATACACATTACACAGTATTAAAAAAGTAACACACTGGAAAGGGCAAGAGGAATTCTATTCATAGGTTTGTCATAATCTGAAAATGTTTAAAAAATGCATGAACTTTTTATATATGTTTGGAATTTTTGCGAACTTGCACTCCAAAAATGTTAATACTTATAATTTACTTATCAATAAGTTCATGACACAACTGGTTCGTCCTGAAGTCGGATGTTTCAATCAAACATAAAACGTTCAAGAAATGATTTACAAACATTCAAACTGGCAATTAGAGTTTACTTTGGCATTCACAACTCACTGTAGGGCTATTGTTATTTTTTGAAACTTCATCTCAGTCAATATTTTAGTTAATTCAGGTCTTGATGATTTGAATTATTTGGTGGATTTGGCACATCGAACACTGTCATCCCCTTTTATTTGGATTTTTTCCATTTATCTGTACTCTTCGGATCAAATCGGTATTCTTCAAAAATGAGTCTGAAAAAGGAATGAGTTGTAGGTTACACAATGAACGTACTTTCGAAATAACAAGCGTTCAGCATCCCATTTTTAACACAAAATATAATTGACAGTGACTTAACGAAACACGCATTCAGTTCAGAAATTCATTATTTCCACTAAGCTCCGAATTGTCTACTCATAATGCTGCTAATTATTGCTAATTAATTTTTGTTACCGCAGTGCTTTGAACAATCGTGACAATGAATCTGATACATTCAATGCAATGTTCTGACTTTGCATTACTTAGGAAGATTTGAAAACAGTTTCCCTAACCTGACACCAGCATTTAGAAAATCTTACTAATTTAACTCTCAACTTTCCTGGGGTCAGAGCTAACTTAAATGAGTCGAATCGGCAACGTGACATAAATAATTAAATAGGACATCATCCTAAAACTGTGTACAACCTATCTTTCCTGGTGTTAGTTTGACATTAGGCCATTCGTTTGACTAACCTCACACAAGGAACTGCCTGGGCCAGATTTCCAGCCTTTACGTCGCCTACAATTCCCATTTCCTTCTTCTCTGCATCTGATAAAAGCTTCAATAGTTGCACTGTTTTGCTATTCCCGCTGCAATTAGGAGCCGAAAGGCCTTTAATTCTATAGCAGAAGGCACCAGCCTAGCCGCGGATCACACAGAACCGCCGTAACCTCGCAGGCGATGTTGATCGAAAATGGCGGCCAATTTCCATTGTTGCGCAACTTAGGTATATATGGGCTTTGCTCTAGACTAGAGTCTAGACCAGTGATTCCCAAAGTGGGCGATATCGCCCCCCAGTGGGCGAAAACGATACAGAGGGGGGGGGGGCGAAAAAGGCTAAGGGGGCGATAGGGGGGCGATTTTGCGAAAGCTGTTTTATGTTAGGCGCACTTAATTCTGTACTCTGTGTGCATTCGCAGGCTTGAAACATGTGGGCGATATTCACACGCGAAAGAATTTCTGGTCTCGTCTTTGCAGTAAGGTAAGGTAGTTTGCGTATCCCAGTGGTCGGCAAAATACTGCCGAAGTAAAATAATCTGGCCCGGGACGATTCACTGAATGGACCTTTCCCCGACCTTTGACCGCGGAAAATTCTTTCCATACTTTACCATTTTAAAATTTTCGGTGTTTATTTTAAGAGTGGTTTCGCGAGCTGTGGCCTGTAAAATGGGGTATTTGATTCAAACTATCATTCTAATACACATCATTTAACAATCTGTTTTTTAAAAGTACCGATAAAGAAATTTAGCCTAGTCTATCATAGCTATTTCTACACTAATTTTTGATTGCTGTATTTAAACTGAAACTCATAGAAAGACAAAGTAATCATTGACTTATTTGATTTATATTTAAATTCCCGAAAAACAACTAAATACTAACGAATATAATTCAAAAACGCGAAAATGAGGTAGTGCTCACGACCACCGCTGAAAATCTGTCCGAGTGAGAGTGTCTGAGCGCCTGCGAAAGAGGGCATTGTTACGTTTTTTGCATCTTGCTGATTGGCCAAAGTCACGAAGTAAATAAGGAAGTCTATGCCCGGGGAAATATCCAAACGGCGGTTTTGACGATGAAAATTTTTTATTTATAATCTACGCTCGAGGAGTAAATTACATTTTTTACGTAACAGAATTTATCGTGAGACACGTTTAGAGTAATTATACTATATCCTAACAATTTAGTGAACAGCCACTCGTTTAACGACCCTACAATTTAATTATAATTAGACAAATGGAAACACGCAGAAAAGTTGATGCTGAGTGCAGGGGTTCAATAGCGCAGTAAATATTCGAATATATTGCAAAGCAATAAGGAAATAAAATTCATATTCATATTCGGGAGATTCATCACTGCTTGATTTTTGTAAGAATGTATCTTCTTAAAGAAAATATATACATATCAAAATTTCACAAATCGTGCGAAAATATTCACTTCGATGTTTGGAAGTACATATTTGTGCAAACCATTATTTGCGGAAAATGCACATTACAAGAACAAGCAAAGAAGTGGGTTTGGTGATGCCCATTCAGAAATTTTTTCAATCTTGGCGTCGTAAGCTATCCAGCGCGATGGCAGCAACAAGACAGTGTCACATTAAATGTCATTGTAATATTTTTTAATAAGACGACTGAGTTGAGTCACGATTGTCGCAGTTTTCGCGTGTGTTCCGTTTTAACTCTCAAAAAATATATTGCGACCCGCAAAAGACTAGCAACCCTGAATTTTGTCCTGCGAGCGACATAAAATTTGCCGACCTCTGGGCCGTAGCCGATAGTCATCACGGCTTCTTCCACATCCGAGTCCATGAATCCAAAAAAATGGCTGGTTAATTATGGACTGGAGGCCGTGATAGGATGAGGAATCGGGGATGGATTTTTCCGAAGTATTTTGCTGCAGGTCATAGGCTGTACGAATGAATGAAATGTACGAAAATACATTATTATAAGTTTGGGAAAAATTATTTTTGTTCTTATTATTTTAATGTGAAATGGGGTGAATTTAGAAGTGAAATGCTATAAGGCAGAGTACACGGCGGGTTTTTGAGGAGGTAGGACCCTGGATTCTTTCATTTCCGACCTATTATATGGTGAAAAAGGTTTTCAGCCGTGCTACTATTGCTATTAGAACAATGAAATCACCTTTCCATCAGTAAATGGGGTAATTTTAGATATAATAAAAAAACTCGCTGAAGAGCACCAAGCTCATCCATCTCATTAAAAAACACTATAAACTATGATTTGTCTTCTTATTTGGTCTGTAATAAATTCGTTTCTGACTTTATATTTTTTTGTAGTGCAGGGGGGCGATGAAGTTGTATAAACTACTTTAGGGGGGCGATGGTCAAAAAAGTTTGGGAACCACTGGTCTAGACCACAGTCTACAAATATATTCACACCAAGCGAAGCAGTAGGTTACAGTACGGTCTACCGTACCTTTAGCATCACCGCCATTCACCGGTAACATGTTTTTTTTTTTTTTTCTGTATTATTAGTTGCCGAATTAGATCAAGATTATTATTCATTTTTTTACAATTTTGAATATCATGGTTTTAATTACCACCATTTCAATAAGTCATATTGTATATACGAATTATAAAATCATACAATACAAATTTATCGATCACATGTATATACATATTACATCCATGTCCATTTGAAGTTCAGTATAGTTGATCCGTGTCATTTTATTAATTTATAATTATATTACCATCAGTAATTAATTTGCATGGAAAAATAAAAGTTTTCAATAAATTAGATAAGAATAAGAAAAACTTCCATACCATGATTATAGTGTTTTTCTACTTTCTATCCATGTTGATGATATACAATAAATATGGTAGATACCGTTGAAATTTAAATGAAATAACACTATATACATATTTAAAAGATTCATCAAATAATACATCAATGGTTTCATCGCTTATTATTTTCAATTTTGTTCCTTCTCCCATATATTTGATGGCAGCTTTCAGCTTGCATTTGAAAATTGTTCGCATGGTTGATTGGTAAGTTTGCCCTTCTTCAAATATAATATAATTTCGAAAATCCCATATTGCCCCTTTTGCACACGCAATGATCAGTCCTAATATTGGTTTTACATTTTGAAGGAAAATTATACTTTTAATATTGTACTGGGTGTTAGATCTCCAGCGCCGGTAGTGTCTATTTCTTTATTGCTGACACGTTTGCATCTTTTCGTTTGTCAACGTCGCAAACGTCTCAATTCATTACTCGCATTTGATGTGTTTCTTTATTATCTGTAGACCGAGCCGAGAAGGTTTCTGTCTACTGCAATTTGCGTGTTTACATCGTTATTGTATCGCCTGGCGTTAGAGCCGAAATTATAAATGTGCACAGCTAGTTTGCTGTTGCAATGCGTTACTTCTATGGCGATTTATCGTTAGGAAAGCTGTATCATATTTTTTATAGTGGGCTAATTATGGTTTTCTTTGTTTCATGCTTATTCAACTTGCTAATAGTTTAAAATTTGCTGCATTGAACTCTGGATTATTGAACTGCAATTTGTGAATCTGTCCTGCGTTTTGATTGTTTTGTGAACAATTCTTGGTGAGTTTTCTGTATTTCATTTCATTTGGCTTGTTATGTAGTAGTCCTATTTGGATGACATACTGTTGGTATTATATTTATTGCCACAATTAATGCTGTAGGGTTAAGTACTGTTACTGTAGTGCTTATTTGTTCGTGTTTATTTCAGTGTTCTGCAGTTGCATAAAAGATTCGATATATTGTTGACCTTGGCTAAAAACAGTTGGTAAGCGATATAATTTGATTGCATGTTGGTTATTTATGCGGCAAATTCATAGTATTTATAGTGTATTTTGTTTTCTTTAGAAAACCTCTCTCTCTCTCTATCTCAACTCAATCTATCTGTATTCGTCATCTGTTTCCGTGATCTATTTGGCTCCATCTGACATCTCGATTTTATAATTTATGCTGAGCAAGTGCTTGATATTTCCACGACATATTACAATTCTCCTGTGTTTGAAGTTGTGTATTGTGGGCTTGTGGACTTCAGCTTGCTTATCTCAGTTATAAGGCAGGGATAGTTTGGAGAGGATTGTCTGGACCGAACATAGACTGATATTGCTGTATTGGGATAGACTACTAGAGCGTTTAGACTGGAAAATATTGGCGCACGGTTCAGCGCCCTTCGTCTTTGTGTAGCAAGCAGGGTGCATAAGGTCACACCCCGTCAAGCTTCTACATAAAAAGTTTTCAACTGGTGCCTTTTTGCTGGGTGCAAAAAGTTTTCGACTAGTGCCTTTTTGCTGGGTGCAAAGAGTTTTCGACTTCTGCAAGTTTTCGACTTTTGCCTTTTTGCTGATTGCAAAAAGTTCAGACTATTGCCTTTTCTGCTGGGTGCAAAATTTTTTCAACTAGTGCCTTTTGCTGATTGCAAAAAGTTTTCGACTCATTCATTGTGTCTTACAACAAGACGTCGATAATTAATAAGATACTGTTCAAGGTTGAAAGACTTTCATCGTTCAAGCTATAATGGAATCCAAGGCAAAGCAGCAGTTGGACATTTTGCGATCTGCTTTGCAGGAAAAGTATTTGATAGCTGAACGTTTGATGCTTCAACGTGAAAACGCTGAAAAGTTGTCAGTAGTAAGGCTAGAAGTTGATGAAATGTTCCAGCAGCTAATCTCTTTAATTGACATGATTCCTGAAAGTGCAGGTAAAGAGATTACTGACTTTCCTGTGACTAATGATTTGAAGCGTGAAAAATCGGAATTTGATTCACGCATCTCGGAATGGTTCGAAAAATTGAAAACGCATTCAACTGTGCAACCAGAAAATGTATCGTCAAAGTATGCGGGTAGTATTTGTTCTGACAATACATCGAGAGCATCCTTCAAGAGAAGATTGCAGTGCAAAGTGAAACGCGATCTAGCAATTGTACAGCTTCGTCACACGGAAGAAAAGCTAGAGGAGGAAGCTTTGAAACGTAAAATGGAGCTTCGTCACACGGAAGAAAAGCTAGAGGAGGAAGCTTTGAAACGTAAAATGGAGCTTCGTGATGCACAGCGTAAAGTGGAATTGACTGAAGTGGAATTTTTATTGTGGGATACGAAATCAACTGGTGATTCAATAAAAGGTGATGGAGATTTCAATAACTTGAGTCCTATTAATGTGTTGCCAGGTACGAGCAGGGCAAGTGATAAAAAGCCTTCAGTGCCATTGGCGAGCCGCAGAGAAGAGACTGCAAGTACTGAGCAAAAACCTTCATCACCCAAATTGGTGAACTCACTCCAGGTTGGTGATAAAATTCCTTACAACTGTGCATAAAAATGTAATGCAAGCTGATGTTTCATCATTGAACAGGCGTCGATCTGCTTCGCTACAGAATGAAGCCACACATACTAGAATAAATACCAACCATGATGGCTATGCTGCCTCTGATTCGTGTCATGAACGAGTACGTTTCGCAAGGTCGCATAATGTACACACATATTCTCAGACTCCATTGAGAAGAGATGATAATGCTGTTCCAAATAGAACTGGAAATGGTCAAAGCTATAACTTTCAGCCTGTGAATCGTGCGATGCTCAGGATGTTCATTTGCGGCTGAACCAGATGGAATGGCTGGCCGTGAACACCATCACGTTTTCCGAATAAATGAAAGTAGTGTCAATGAGTTGCCAGATGTGCAGACTCGTGGATATAGGACACTTCAGGAAAATCGTGAGTCGGTTAATGATTATGTTTATGAATCTGGGCCACAACATTATTCACAGCGGAGAACAAGAGAATCATCTCCAGTTATACAGCATCACCATTATCATGGACGTGAAGAATTCTTCTTTCAGAAGCCCAAGTTACCTGTGTTCAATGGAGATCCTTTGAAGTATATGTCTTTCATAACAAATTTTGACATCCACCTGGCACCGAAACTAGAAACAAATAGCCAGAAGCTTGTGTGTTTGTTGCAATATTGTGAAGAGAGAATTCGTGCACAATTAGAATACTTCACAAAGAAGCCTGAGAATGGATACAAGCTTGCTAGGCAGAGGCTGTTTGAAGAATATGGTCAGCCTCATATTATCGCTGGTGCATGTGAAAGAGTTCTAAAAGAGTTTCCAAGTGTGCGTGATGACAAGCCAGAGCAGCTATTGCAAATATCACAAGTAATGGAGCGATGCCTGGGAACTCTAGAAGACATTGATGAATTTGCAAATGTAAACACCCTGGACACTATGGGAATGCTGATGGCTAAACTTCCTGAAGATGTTCAGGATGGCTGGCCACATGAAGCCCTCAGAATTCAAAGAAAGACTGGTCGTCAGGCAAAATATTGTCACTTGGTCGATTATGTTTGTAATTGGGCGGATGTAAAAATTCAATGTATGGGAAAAAGCTTAATGAGATTCGTCACAAAAAGATTCCTGTGAGTGTGAGGAGAAACAGAGCTGCAACCTATAATATTGATGCTGAGGCCAAAAGGGAACACATTGATCAAAAACGGGATTTGGGATGTGTATGTTGTCTCAAACCGCACAATTTGTGGAACTGCCCGGACTTCAAGAGTAAATCGCATGAAGAAAAGGTCAGTCTTTTGAAGGAGCAGAAATTGTGTTTCAAGTGTCTGTCTCATGGTCATCTGCTCGTAATTGCAAGAAGGCCAGTCAGTGCAAAGTACATGGATGTAAAGGAAATCGACATCACACACTGCTTCATAGATTTATTGAAATTCAGGAGAAATCGAAAAAGCCTGAAGAGGGACCTGCTGTATATTCATTGGCAAAGTCGTCAAAGTGCAATGGGAAAAGTATCGGGCAAGATGTTTATTTATGTGTGGTGCCGGTCAATGTTCGAAATGGTGAAAAGACCGCTCAAACATACGCCTTGCTGGATCCGGCATCTACAGTTACTCTGTGTAGTGAACGTTTGATGGAATATCTCGAAGTAACAGGAAATACTAGAGATATCACATTACGCACAATTGGACAGAGGCCAATACAATACAAGGGTATATCTGGCAGTTTAGTTGTATCGCCGCTAGATGGTGGTGCTGAACATGAAATCACAGATGTGCTCTCGGTTGAAAAAATTCCTGCTAAGCCGAATAAAGCGCCCGATCAAAGGTTCCTTAAAATCATGCCGCATCTTCAAGATGTAAGATTGCCTATCTTGGAAGGAGGAACAGTGAATCTTCTGATTGGGGGCTGACAATGCGGAACTCGTCTGTTTCCAAAGTGTTCGAAATGGACCGAGGAAAGCACCTAAGGCAGTGAAGACTGTTCTTGGCTGGTCGCTGTTCGGACCCAGTTTTGAGTCGCCATCAGATATCAGAGAAGTTCATTTTACATCTGATCATTATGTCAATTTCGTCAAGTGTAAGGATTTGGAAACACAAAAGGAAATTGAAACTCTGTGGACAACAGATTTTGGCAATGAAACTTCAGTTCTTGATATTCCAAATTCTCGAGAAGATCGAGCAGTGTATGAAATTATGCAAAATTCGGTGAAACATATTGGTGGTCATTTTCAACTTCCTTTGCCATGGAGAACCGGGATGCAGTATCTACCGGATAACAAAGAGATGGCAAAAAAGACTTTGTAGCCTCAAAAATAGACTGATGAGAGATTCCGATTTGCATAAAAGGTATGTCGAAGTTATTCAAGGATATATCAAGGCAGGATATGCCAAAAGAATTTCATATGCCGAAATTGATACGTCTAATACAGTTTGGTATCTTCCTCATTTTCCTGTCATGAACCAGCATAAGCCTGGAAAAGTTCGTGTAGTTTTTGATGCTGCAGCCAAATATGGAAATGTGTCTCTGAATGATTGCTTAATGTCCGGACCAGATTTGGTATCGTCACTCGTGGGTGTAATTTTGAGATTTCGCAGGGGACGAGTGGCATTAGTGGCCGATGTGGAAGCAATGTTCCACCAGGTTAGAGTGGCACCTCAGGACACGGATGCACTAAGGTTTTTATGGTGGGATGACGGGGACATTTCAAAGGAACCCGTTCCACATCGTATGCGAGTTCATATATTTGGGGCTGCATCGAGTCCGTCTTGTGCTGCATTTTGTTTGAAACAGACGGCGGTGAAATTTGGAAATGAACACAAACCTAGAATTTCAGAAATTGTTAATGAAGATTTCTATGTCGATGACTGCTTGACAACTGCTGAATCGGTCGATGAAGGCATAGAGATTGTCAAGGAATTGACACAATTGATGTCAAAAGGAGGATTCAACTTGACTAAATGGCTCACCAATAATGATGAATTACTGTCTATGATTCCAGAAGAAAAGAGAGCTAAATGTGTTCAAAATCATGTTATTGATGGCAATGTCAAAGAACGAGTTCTTGGTATTCAGTGGAATGTGGCAAATGATGAGTTTGGGTTCAAGGTTAATATTGCTGACAAACCAAATACCAGGAGAGGTATACTTTCAATTGTAGCATCTGTTTTTGACCCACTTGGTATAGTGGCTCCAATAACGCTACTTGCCAAGTTATTGTTGCAAGAACTTTGCAAGCAAAATTTGGGATGGGATCAAGAAATTGCAGATGATGATGCTGTTAAATGGCGAAACTGGCTACATCAACTGCAAAGCTTAGAACAGGTGAAGATACAGCGATGCTATCAGCCATTTGATTTTGAAAAGTTGTTTCCTATGAACTACATCACTTTGCTGATGGATCAGAATTAGCATATGGAGCTGTTTCATATCTACGAATAATCGATAAAAATGGCCAAATTCATGTGGCATTTTTGGTTGGAAAGGCAAGACTTGCTCCATGTTCTCGTGTAACTATACCCAGACTTGAATTAACAGCTGCAGTTCTCGCTGTAAAGTTGAATCTTGTCCTAAGGAAAGAACTGAAGATGAATGAATGCAGTTCAACTTTCTGGACTGATTCCACAGCCGTACTTCAAAGTATAAGAAATTCGAAGAAACGATTCTCCACATTTGTTGCTAATCGTTTAGCAAAAATTGATAGAAATACTGATGTATCACAGTGGCGCCATGTTCCAACGAAGATGAATCCAGCTGATGATGCTTCGCGTGGTCTTAGAGTTGATGCATATTTAAAGTCAGGACGATGGATCAATGGGCCCGAGTTTTTGCGTCTTTCTGAAGACAAGTGGCCAAAGATGCCGGACTGTTTTCCTGATCCACCGTCTGAATTTTGTCCAAAGCCAGTTCCAGAAATAAAGTCGGCATTTGTAATAAAGGAAGAGTCTTCTGTCATGGACAGGTTCATAGGATTCTTTTCTACATTCTACCGTTTGAAGAAAGCAACTTGTTGGGCTCATACGATTCAAGAAATATTTGATGGTTCCTCATAAGAAGTCATAGACAAGCTTTACTGAACTGGCCAGCAAGACTGACTGTTGCAGGAACTGAGGCTTATGGCTAGAAAGAGTTATTTATTGAATATGTTCAAAGACAAGCTTTCGTGAAGAAATGAAATGTATATTTAAATGGTAAATCTATCAGTAAAGGTGATTGCTCTCGCGTATGTTGAAACTTAATCTGTTCTAAGAAGATGGTTTGATGAAGTAGGAGGACGTTTGGAAAATGCACCAATTATGCATTCATCAAAGCATCCCATCATATTGCCTCATATATCAACATCTTACGGATCTAGTCATCAGGGATCATCACAACAAAGTTGGTCATTCAGGTATGGGTCATACATGGACCTCGTTAAGAGAAAAGTACTGGATAATCAAAGGTGGAGTTGCAGTAAGAAGGGTCATGACGGAAATTGTGTTTCTTGTCGAAAGCGAAATGCCGCGCCCTGGAACAATTTATGGCAGATCTACCTTCCGTGTCGCCTGAAATCGGATGACCAGTGTTCAGTCTGTTGGTGTTTGATCTATTTGGACATTTTCTTGTTCGACAGGGAAGGAGTGATGTGAAAAGATGGGGTTGTGTGTTCTCCTGTGTATGACACATCGTGCTGTTCACATCGAGGTGGTAATAGTTTGTCTGCTGATTCTTTCATATGTGCATCCCGACGATTTATTGCTCGAAGGGGTCATTGTACTCATATATATTCGGACAATGCTGGTAATTTTGTACTTGGCAGAGAAAATACTTGAAAATTCCTTGAAGATATGGAATGATTCTCAATTCATGGATACTTACGTCAAAGGGGATAACATGGCATAATCACCGCCTACGGTCAAATCATGGAGTGCATGGGAACGAATGATTCGGAGCAATTCGTCGAATTTTCAAGGCTGTTACTCAGGGTCAAACTATGACAGATGAAGTTTTTAGACCGCCTTGATCGAGTGTGAATCATGCTTGAACAGTCGTCCAATAATTCCTGTAACATTTGAACCCACGGGATGAAGAGCCTTTAACGCCGAATCACTTGTTATTACTTTTCGGTCAAATCAAAATGTGCCTCCCTGGAGTTTTTGACAAGAATGATTGCTATGTTAAACGTCGATGGGCACAATCCTCAATATCTCGGCAAATGAATTTTGGAGAAGATGGATTCGAGAGTATCTGCCTACGATTATTGAGGCGAACACAAGTGGTTTCAGAAAGAGAGAAATTTCAAGAAAGAAGATGTTGTCCTGGTGGTAGACGATTCTCAACCTCGATCAAGATGGGCAATGGGAAAGAATCGTGGATGTGTATCCAGACAAGAAGGGACTGATACGAACAGTGCTTGTTAAAATTCGCAATAGCTTGGTAAAGCGTCCCATCACAAGCTAGTTCTTGTTGTTGAAGGCACTAAATGACTATTGAGGCTTGGAGATCATGTTGTGTTTTGAAATTTATTTCCTATGTACATAAATTTGTGGGGGGGAATGTTAGATCTCCAGCGCCGGTAGTGTCTATTTCTTTATTGCTGACCACGTTTGCATCTTTTCGTTTGTCAACGTCGCAAACGGTCTCAATTCATTACTCGCATTTGATGTGTTTCTTTATTATCTGTAAGAACCGAGCCGAGAAGGTTTCTGTCTACTGCAATTTGCGTGTTTACATCGTTTATTTGTATCGCCTGGCGTTAGAGCCGAAATTATAAATGTGCACAGCTAGTTTGCTGTTGCAATGCGTTACTTCTATGGCGATTTATCGTTAGGAAAGCTGTATCATATTTTTTATAGTGGGCTAATTATGGTTTTCTTTGTTTCATGCTTATTCAACTTGCCTAATAGTTTAAAATTTGCTGCATTGAACTCTGGATTATTGAACTGCAATTTGTGAATCTGTCCTGCGTTTTGATTGTTTTGTGAACAATTCTTGGTGAGTTTTCTGTATTTCATTTCATTTGGCTTGTTATGTAGTAGTCCTATTTGGATGACATACTGTTGGTATTATATTTATTGCCACAATTAATGCTGTAGGGTTAAGTACTGTTACTGTAGTGCTTATTTGTTCGTGTTTATTGTGTTCTGCAGTTACATAAAAGATTCGATATATTGTTGACCTTGGCTAAAAACAGTTGGTAAGCGATATAATTTGATTGCATGTTGGTTATTTATGCGGCAAATTCATAGTATTTATAGTGTATTTTGTTTTCTTTAGAAAACCTCTCTCTCTCTCTATCTCAACTCAATCTATCTGTATTCGTCATCTGTTTCCGTGATCTATTTGGCTCCATCTGACATCTCGATTTTATAATTTATGCTGAGCAAGTGCTTGATATTTCCACGACATATTACAATTCTCCTGTGTTTGAAGTTGTGTATTGTGGGCTTGTGGACTTCAGCTTGCTTATCTCAGTTATAAGGCAGGGATAGTTTGGAGAGGATTGTCTGGACCGAACATAGACTGATATTGCTGTATTGGGATAGACTACTAGAGCGTTTAGACTGGAAAATATTGGCGCACGGTTCAGCGCCCTTCGTCTTTGTGTAGCAAGCAGGGTGCATAAGGTCACACCCCGTCAAGCTTCTACACTGGGGAGGTGCAATGTTACACCATTCCCAGAATTGTCTAACATAAACGCATTCAAAAAATAAATGTTTACAAGTTTCTACAATGTTGTTGTCACCGGTAACCTCGAAAAACTTGCGATTCTTGAGTAACGACTTTAAGAATCCGCCGTCACGCCAGCGTTCGATGTCACGTGATCAAAAAGAGGAGTGCCTGCATATGCGTCCGCCGAACGTTCAGTGACGTCATCGCAAACAAAAACAAATCTCATGGAGCTAACAGGAATATTTGAAATAAATAAAAGTAATAGCCTTCTGGAGAAAAATTTCATCTTTAACCACTAAAAATTTCAAAGCAATTGGTCCAGTGATCGAAGAGAAAAGCGGGGTTTTTTAGATTTTACACTAGATGTTCAAAAAGTGTCAAAGAATAACAACAACAACAACAACAACAAGACCAACATAATATTGAAACGATCGTTATGTCCACTTCGTGTCCAATAACAAATAAAACCAAAATTACGCTAAACTACACACAATGAATAACGAATATAGACGTCGCTGTTCGATGACCAGTACAATATGATCTCGTATCTTTTAATCTCGAAATGCCTTTTTATTCATTTTATATGTACAGTAAATATTTCCAGTATGATGAATAGTTTAATTTAATAAATATCTGATTGAACTATAGAAATAATTGTTTTGAGGTACTCGATGTAACAACGATCGCTTTAGCAATTAAATACGATTATTCAAATTTGACCAAATTTTTTAACTGCTATTAATTAAACATTTAGTTGCACCCAACAAGTTCCAATGGATCAGATAAAGGCAACATCACCATGCAGAAAATCAATTGCTAACGCGTACACAGACACGAGCCAGTCGGTGGCATCATCCCAGTTTTCATCGTTCGTCCAATACGCAATTGTATACTTTTTATTTTCACTGACTTTGCGAATTAACCCGTTGTAAAGAACAAGCGTTCCATTTAGTGACCACATATGGCATACCTTCCCTCCCACAACTGTTCCTTCCACGATAGACCTCACAGATTGTTCGCTTGAAAAATCGAGGTGTGGATAACACAGTTTCAAGCTATCTAAATCCGACTTTTTTAAAATTTCCTCTTGTTTTTTTCTTACTTTTATGTATCGTTTTTCTTTTTGAGTTTTCTGCCTTTTTGAAATATCAACTCTAATCTCTTTTTGATTACTCAATCTCATAATTCTCTGCCTCCTTCCATACTTGACTGCTATAGAGAGAACTTTTTCCCGGCTTTCATCATCCATGCCCTCCAAATATGCAAGTGTATTATTTTTACAGGCCCTCATCCTACACGACAAAAAAAAACAGAGTGTAGCATTTGTAGATTTGGACTTAGATGCACTAAACATTGCCATATTTCCTCGGTATCAATGTTTTGTGATCTTGCTGAAGCGGTTTCTTGTCGCAACTTCTTTGTGATAGTAATATGAAAGTAATTTTTGTATTGCCGCTCAAGAATATCGATGGTGGCCTGTAAGCATGTAGACATCATTTCCTTAAACTTCGGGTGGCTAGGTATTTCTCTTGACTTGTTTAGCGTGGTGCTCATGGCAAGCCCGTCTCCAAAATTTTTTTTATGGGTAATAAGAATCCGACAAGGGTCTTTTAACGTGTCCTTCAGTGCTCGAATAACATTTCGGACAATATCAATGCAATCTACATGATTCACATTGTCAGCAGCCGAAGTATAAAATTTGCGCATCAAGGGTCCTGTCAGATGTTGCCCCAAGAGTCCAAGAACTTGTAGTTGGATCCTCGCGTTGTCAGAGTTGAAATCTTCTGATAGCTTTGTCCGAACCTCAGGCAGGGATGTAGCGCGCCGCATGTGTCGCGAGAAAGCGTCGTGATGTTCAATTAAAATGCCGGCGTTGTGGAACAGAATGTGTAGCCGGTTACCCCTATAACGAGGAAGAACACCCCTCCGGAGTTTTAGCTCGTCCAGGAAAGCAACAAATGCACGTGGATCACACTTGCCGTCCTTGTATCAAAACTTATTGAATTAAAGAATTATATTTGCAGCAATGCAGTCGTTTCCATGAACTTTACCTCTGGATACCTCCATCTCTTTGCGTGCAGAAGCACTGGAGTCAAGGGGATGCAGATGGCAATTTAACACGTTTAAAGGCTTTCTCCAAATTTTTGCAACCTGGCGAAGAGCAGCATGATTTGCGGCACACCTGTCACTCATTGAATTGCTAATATTATTTATCAATCTAGATCTAATGCCTTCAAACGTAGATTGTTTATTGAAATATACATATGTCTCTGCCATCCCCTCCGCTGTGCGGCAAATGTGGTTAGCATAATTATTGGCTGTTCCACCAGCCAACTCATCGATTGCAGCCGAAACACACACCCCGTCTTCGTTGTAAAGTGAACACTATTAATATGAATGCCATCTTGTGTCGTTGCATCAAACCCAAGCGTAACATCCTTTTCACGTAAAAGTGCTTCTGCCGTCTGCAACTCCGCAATTGTGCCTAATTCTCTCGCCATGAGTTCGACCGCGCTCCTTTTTGAAATAGCTTCGGGTTTGCGACCTGCAACTCTTTCAAGCTCTTCTATTAAAAAAGGTATATTGGCTGTAGGCACTTTGTTAATTATACAGGTGAATACTTTCTGGTGAATTACTGAAGAATATTTCTTTTTAAAATGTTTCTGGCTATTCTGAGAACTAGTAAATTCCTCCACTGTTTCCTCCAAAAGTAAAATCTGATGTTTCTGCGATTCTATCTTTTTCTTCATTTAATCAATTGACTGGTTATGAATTTCCGATGATATATCATATTTTTTTCTTCTTACGTATGCCGAGTGCGTACTTTTTACGCGATGCAATTGTAATTTTAGGCACTTTAGTTCTTTGTGTAAAACGTTGCGATTTAATTTACGCTTCAGATTTCGGATAATTCTATTTCGATTTTCAATTATTTTTATTTTCCTTTCGATGGCTTGATTTTCAACTTTGTTTGGTAATTTTACCTTTTTTTAAAGAATTTTGATGTCTTTATTGTACTTCCGTCTAAGTTGGGCATTGAAAAGAGCATAATATTTTAGTTGATTGATCATTTCTTTTTTCCTAGGTGTAAATTTTTTAGATCTGGCTCGTGTACTAGTTGTTTCTGGTGATTTTGGTTCTAATGTGACGTTTTCAGTGGAGAGCAGCATTGAGTCCAAATAGTCATCATACAATATTGAAGTTTGAGCACTCAGATCAAGACTATAATCCACATTTTTTGTATCTGATACATGCAAAGGAACAGTGATGACTGGGAAAATTTCAGTAAAGATATTGCGGAATGCTTCTGCTTATTTGCAATCGGTAGGTCTTTTAAATTTGACTAACGTTTTTGAGACAACCCGTTTAATGCCGGCAATTAATTTTGGCGAGTTATCAGTGATATCACGAAAGTCTTCCCTCCGTTTTCTTTCAGTAGCAACCCGGCTTTTATTGCAGTTGATGTATATGAGAAGGATGTGACCGTTCCTGAGGTTGTTGATCAACAGTAGTGTCGAATAATTTTCGAGTAGTATATTTTTCGCCACACCGGGAGGGTCTTGTTCCAATTTTCTCTTATTTTTTTTAGGGGGCATCTGTATGGTAAGCTAATGCACAGCATACCACTTTAAAATGAAATAAACCTATTTGCTTACCCACGAGAGTTACACCGTTTACCGATAGAATACAGTTAAATGAGCAATATTATCAATATTGTATACGCAACCGTAGTAGTATATATTTATGACGCAACGTATGTTGTCAGATTCAAGGTCACATCCTAATATGCGTATATTAAAAAATTTTGTAGCGTTCATAGCGAGAAAGACTTGGAAATAATTTTTTTATTTAAACTTCTCCTTATTCAAGAAAAGAGAGCATTTAATAGTATTACATTGTTATATGTCGAATCTTCGTGACATCGGAAAAATTTCGCATTTCAAATTCTGGCAACTGTCAGTGCAAAAAAGATGGTCGGCGAATCGCGCAGATTCAGCACAAAAGCTGCGGGTTTTTAGGTTGGCAGTGGTTCGTTGCGGGTGATAATTAACTATGTTCTGAATATACAAGCTTCGAAAAATTGGTAAGTATCAAGTTAAGAAAGCAATATACGTGTCCATATAACTTTTATGAGTGTCCATAGTCGATATCATTAATTTGCGATACTTTGAAGTTGAAGGTAATTTTTAGAAGCTCCAAATGTTTGGAAGTTTATGCGTTAATGAAAAATTCAAATGCGAGGTCATAGTAGTGTATTTTATCTAAGTAATGTTCAATTTTTAGAAAATTCCAAGCTACTGCATGTAATCTGTAGTCGTTTTTATCAGCGGTACTCTGACACGGCGTAACGGTACCTAGCAGACATGATGCGTACATTTTTTGGCGCGAAAAAGCGCGTTTTGTAACATTCCTAGAAGAAACTAGAGTCGGTTGTAACATTAGCGATGTCAGACCAAAAATATATACGGTACAACTACTAGATGTTCAACTCCGCTCGCCGTATAATGAACAAACAAAGGCGATGTTACCTTTCAAGTGGCGAGCGTCAAGGTCGGTTAGGTTCAGAAAAGGTGCTTAATGACGACGACGCTCCTGCATTACAGCTCGCAATCTCGCCTTGTTCATTGATGACTGATCGAAATATTTGACGTAGAGGACGTGGAGAATTTGAATAAAAATGGACAAACAATTGTGAAAATGAAGACACAGTCTGTCCTGCAAAAGACCAGGATGATGTGACAACTTTCTTGTCGAAAGAGAGCAATACATCAAAAATGTGATGCATTGCAAAAATATCAGTCAGATGTAAGTAAAGTGGTGATGAAAATGAATACTTTGCACTTTATATGAAAAAAACGCTTAGTAGCACAGCGTTTTGGTTTCACTCCATCTCAAGTATTGTACCTTTTACAGAAGTTTTTTCTCCACTTAACCTATAATAACGTCCCTATTTCTAAGATTTGTCCTCATTTTGAAG